TAGATGTATTTATCTGAGAATATTAAGATAGAGAGAGATTATAAACTTTAAATCAGAACTGAGAGTTTCAAGTTGACTAAAGAATCTTTGAAAACAAATTTAATAAACTTCAGCCTCAGAAGTATATCTACTACAGAATACTACAGTTTATAAAAATAAGTATTTTTTCACTTAATGTATTTCTTCATCTAAATATGACATTTACAAAAATAAAATTTTCATAACTACATTAAAAAAAGCAGGCCTTAATTATATCAAATAACAGATTACATAACAATATAATTTATTAAAAGAAGAGTTTGAGAGAATGTGCTTTACGGGAAAACATTTTACTCACAAGAGAGTAACAGCAGTTGGCAGAGTTGGTCTGAAGAGATTTGAAGTATAAAAATATTTGACTAAGTTGAGTTCTCCCCCTAGTGGAACTTGAAAATGCTCTAAGATATTTCCATGACTAAGAATAACTTAAAATGTATTATTCTTATAATTGAAAAAGGAACTTCAAGTTTTAACAAAAGATCTATTTATGGATCTTAATCTGCATGTAACAAATAAATAAATGCGTGCAAGTTAAATCATTAAGACTTTTACTGAAAACACATTTACTAAAAGTATTAATTGCAAGCTAGCCAAGGAGAACTCAGTAAGCAGAAATAACCCAAAAGCAGGGTATAGAAAAATACAGTAATTTATGAAAACATAGTAGCATGTAGAATGGTACTGAATTTTGAAAAAATGTGAAAATACTGAAAAGAGAGTGTGTGTAGGGGATGGGGATGTAATGGTGAGAGACGAAGCCAGAAAGGCAGGTTTGAGCAACAATGAAAAGATAATCATTTTATGCTGAGGAGTTTTGATGTGATTTGGTAGGTAAACGGCAGTCAAGTTTTTATGTTTGCTCTGTAGAAGAGCCGAGACTGGAGAAAAGGAAACTGAATAGAAGTTACAACAGTGAATTAAGGGAGTGGCAGGAGCAATAGAAAGGCTATGAAAGATACAAAACGTTTCTGAAATGATTAAAATGACCTTTGATTTAGTTTTAGATTTACTCAGGACTTTTATCTTTTGAAGTAACCGAAGAGTTGAATAAGACACTGTAATCTGTATGAATTAAGAATTATCTGAAGGCAAATCTACAAAAGTAGATAAGCAGGTAAAATGTTGTAGGGATGTTAACTAGCACAAGCACTTTGTAAAATAATATTGTATTATCTAGTAAAGCAGAAAATTTGCACACTCTGTATATACAGACTTTGTATATATGATAGAGGGTAAGAAAAGCAAAAGTGAAATTCCTATTAGGTTGAAAAATTCGATAATAGATGATACCACTGATCAAGACTTGAGACAAAAGAAGAAAAACATTTTGGATGGAACAGGAACACATCTGATTTTAAACATGTTGAATCTGAAGTACCTGTACAACTTCCAGGTGAAGCTGTCTACTGTCCCTTAAAACTATTGGTTTCTTCATCAAAAACACAACAGATTAAAAAACAAACAAACAAACAAAGACAAGTCACAGAGTGGGAGTAGATATTTGCAAAACATAACATCGATACATAAAGAAGCACATATCCATTAGAAAAAGATAGACAACCCAATAGAAAAATATACAAAAAAGACTTTAACAAGCACCTTACAAAAGAGGAAATCCAAATGGCCAACCTTATTAGTAATTAGGTAATGGAAATTAAAACCACAATGAAATATCACTGCATACCTACCAGACTGGCACAAATTAAAACACCTGACACCAAGTGTTGGGGAGGATGTGGAACAACAAGAATTTTCATATGCTGCTGTTGGGAGTTTAAACTGGTACTAGCACTTTGGAAAATACAGTTGAACATTTGCATGCTCTATGACCCAGCCATTCCACACTTTGGTATACATGCTAGAGAAACTTGTGCACATGTGATCAGTATGGTGGACAAGATTGCTCATAATCACAGGATTGTTCAAAATAGTCCCAATCTGGAAATTCCCAAATGACCACTAATATTAGAATGAATAAATGCATTGTGATATATTCATAAAATGGAACATGTACAAAAATAAAAATGATGACTCTTACTAAAATCACATTGAACAAAGAAAGTAGAGACAAAAATAAAAATATTTACTATGACTCTACACAAAATTCATAAACAGGGAAAACTAAACTGTATGGATCAGAGACACATACACAGATGACACAACTATAAGGAAAAGCAAAGGAGTTATTACCATAAAATTCAAGATAAGCAAGCAGATTGGGTAGTGTGATTGGGCAGACTTCTGGGGTCCAGGCAATATTCTCTACAGTGGCTATATGAGTATTGTTTTTATACATCTTATAATGTAGCTTTGTTTATGAACTTCTCTGTATATCACATTAATAATTTTTTAAAAAGGTTTAAAAATTATTGGTTAGGGGAAACATGCTAGGGCTGGAGATAAATCAGGATTCATTGTTGTAAAGATGGCTCCTGAAGTTATGTAAGTGAGACTTTTCATTTGAGTACAGTTTTTAAAAAGCCAAAAATTCTCAGAGGAATACAAACACAAAGAACTGATAAAGAAGACTGAAAACAACAGTTAAACAAAAAAGAAGAGAGTCAAAAGTGAGTGATGTTAGGCAAGCCAAAGGAGGGGAAAATGCAAAGAGGATGAAGTGGTCAACAATGACAAACGATATAAGCTCAAGCAGGATAAATACTGACAAAATACCAATGAATTTGGCAATTAGGATTCCAGTGACCACTTAAGAGCCATTTGATGCTAACATATTCCTATTGACAGTAAAAATTTCATGCATTTTCTTTTCTATTTTTCAAAAATGACATAACATATATTTCATTTTAAACAAAACATACAACATACCAAGTTCTTCATTTTAATAAGTATTTCAGAATCAACAAAAAGAGTGATTTAAATCTTGCTATTCTGTGACTAAGACATACAGAAATGTGGCAAAATTTTATAATTTTCTTGATGTTACAAAAGTACAGACTAAATCTAGAACTGCATATGATACCATGAGTTAAATAGTTGATTATAAATATATTTTGCTGTCAGTTCATGTCTGAAGCTTTTCTGAATATGTGCTATTTTATGGAGAATATTATCAATAGAACGTGAAGGATTTTTTTTTATAAACTTATACAAATCATAATGTGTTGTCATTACTTTTGACCCAGATCAAAAGATGAGGCTATAATACGTAAGTTTTAGAAATTAACTGAATTTTGAATTGAAGTTTAAGGACAAAAAGATATTTCAGGTGGGAAGAAAAGTCTAGATGTTGTAGCAAAAACTGTATTACGGCTTGGAATAGAATATAATCAAAAACTTGGAAAGAAATAAGATTGTAGGGCCAGCTCCATGGCTTAGCAGTTAAGTGCGCGCCCTCCGTTACTGGTGGCCCGGGTTCAGATCCCGGGCATGCACCGACATGCCGCTTCTCTGGCCATGCTGAGGCCGCATCCCACATACAGCAACTAGAAGGATGTGCAACTATGACATACAACTATCTACTGGGGCTTTGGGGAAAAAAAAGGAGGAGGATTGGCAATAGATGTTAGCTCAGAGCTGGTCTTCCTCAGCAAAAAGAGGAGGATTAGTGTGGATGTTAGCTCAGGGCTGATCTTCCTCACAAAAAAAAAAAAAAAAAAAGATTTTAAACATAATACTTTGCCCATATTAGAAATCTACTACTTTATATTATACAATAAGAAGTAGGACATAAGAAGTGACAAAGCACATTTATTTTTAAAGCTTTGAAATTTCATTTGAAACGGCTTTCACAATATAGAAATATGATAAATTGTCATTCAAAAATGGACTTTGAGCACAGGCAACAGAAGAAAAAAATTGGTAAGGTGGACTTCAACAAAAATAAAAACTTTTGTGCATCAAAGGACAGCAGCAACAGAACAAAAAGGCAACCAATGGAATGGGAGAAAATATACGCAAGCCATATACCTGATAAGAGATTGACCTTGAGAATATATAAGGAACTTCTATAACTCAACAACAATCTGATCAAAAAATGGGCAAAGAACTTGAATAGACATTTCTCTAAAGATATATAAATGGCAAATAAGCACATAAAAAGATGCTCAACATCACTAATCATTAGAGAAATGCAAATCAAAACCACAATGAGTTGCCATTTCATACCCACTAGGATGGCTATTGTAAAAAAAGAAAATAGAAAATTAACAAGTGTTACTGAGGATGGGAGAAACTGGAACCCTTGTGCACTGCCGGTGGGAACGTAAAATGGTACAGCTGCTGTGGAAAACAGCATAGCAATTCCTCAAAAAATTAAACATAGAATTATCACATAATCCAGTAATTCCACTTCTGGGTATATAACCCAAAGAAATGAAAGCAGGAACTCAGATATTTGTACACCACGTTTACAGCAGCATTATACACAATGGCCAAAAGGTGGAAGCAACCCAAGCATTCATCAACGGATAAATGGAATAAACAAAATGTGGTATACACATACAATGGAATACTATTCAGCCTTAAAAAGGCAGTTCTGCCACATATTACAACAGGGATGAACCTTGATGACATTATGCTAAGTGAAATAAGCCACTCACAAAAAGACAAACACTGTATGATTTTACTTATATGAGGTACCTATAGCAGTAAAACTCAGAGACAGAATAGAATGGTGGTTTCCAGGGGCTGGGGGAAGAGAGAAAAGGGGAGCTGTTTTTTAGTGGGTACAGAGTTTCAGTTTTGCAAGATGAATGGAGTTCTGGAGATTGGTTGCGCAACAGTGTGAATATACTTCATGTCACAGAACTGCACACCTTAAAACCGTAACTTTTATGCTAGGTGTATTTTACCACAATAAAAAAAAATGGACTTGAAAATTAATAGGTTTTGAAAATAGAATCCCAGTCATCAGGAAGAAGAGAGAAGTCATTGTTCAGGTGCAGAGGGAAGGGAAACAAACGCATTATTTTTCCGTGAGCTTTATCATCATCATCTGGTACCTGGATTTCGAGCTCAGCAATGTGCTGCTGCAGCTCAGCCACAGCAGCCATGCCGTCCGCTTCCCGCAGCCTCACAGCCATCACCTCCTCCTTATTCTAGGGTGGCAGACAGAGCAAACCAACAAGGAACCATACAAAATAAAAACAGATAAACAGATGAATAAAAAATAATGTATACAAAACCATATAAATCAAACCAATAATAAAACATAACCACTGTAACCTGCCTCACGTTTAGAAAATAACAAATAAATCCATGATTAAATGAGAAAAAAAGCCATTATTTCCTGAACTTGATATGAAACGAATAAATATACAGAACAGCATTCCATCTTTAAATATTAAGAAATACCACTCATATAAATATTGCTCAAAATTTTTAAATTAAAAATTAACTGAATGAACTAGAATTATTAAAATTACTGGTGACTATGAAAGCTGTTAATTTTTTATGCAAGAACAATTCTTGAGAACTTTCAAACAAGTAAGTAGGACAACAGAATAACAGAAAATACAGATACTAAGAGTTAGCTAGATAATATTAAAAGATTACATTCTTTCTGAGACAATAAATGTTAATGAATACTTACATTACACTACAAAGGAGAATAATAGAAACTAATTATATCACAATTCTGCATAACATTCATCACATCAAAATTTCACAAAACAAAAACTCTAAAATCATATTCTACAATATCCATGCTAAATAATACTGATCCAGAAATAACAAAATATGAAGAAAATATGGTAGAGAAAAATGGGGTATGCAAAAATATTTTGCTCCTCCATTAACTTCAGTTGAAATTTACCAATCTCTCGGTATCAAAAATGTGCAACATGGGGGCCAGCCCAGTGGCGTAGCGGTTAAGAGTGCGCGCTCTGCTTTGGTGGCCTGGGGTTCGTGGCTTCAGATCCCAGGTGCACACTGATGCACCACTTGTCAGGCTATGCTGTGGCAGCGTCCCATATAAAGTAGAGGAAGATGGGCACAGATGTTAGCCCAGGGCCAATCTTCCTCAGCAAAAAGAGGAGGATTGGTAACAGATGTTAGCTCAGGGCTACTCTTCCTCACAAAACAAAAACAACAAAAAAACAAAAAAAAAGTGCAACATGGTGACCACTGGAGAAATTTCGCACCTGACAGTACCATAATATCAAAATTTTAAAAAATATTAAATTTAGTAAAACTGTAATAATTAAACTTTTAAATAAAAATTTATATTTATTCTTGTATCTCAGATCTAATATTGGTACTTCACTTCAAATACTACTTTAAATATTTTGTCAATTTGCATATGGCCAGAACATGTAGTCTCTATACCCAGGGCTGTGCTGCTAAGTGCTTAACAACCAGCTTTCAGGTAGGGATGTGCATGCATGTGTGTACATATGTGTTCATGTACAGGTTTATTATATATTTTAATATAAACTGATACAGAGGATGCATAGTACACAATATACAGATAATAAGATATACAATACAGCCATGTGCCGCTTAACAATGTCTTGGTCAATGATGGACCACATGTACCATGGTGGTTCCATTAGATTAGTACCATATAGCCTAGATGTGTAGCAGGCTATACCATCAAGGTTTGTGTAAGTACACTCTATGATGCACACACAATGATGAAGTCGCCTAACGATGCATTTCTCAGAACATATCCCCACAGTTAGCAACATACAATTGTACTCATTATTGCAAATTCTATATAGTCAATATATTCTCACAGAATGCTTTCACTGATTTTTGACAAACTCTTGTATCCATAAGCCACCTATGGCTGAGACTGAGGAATAAGTGAAGTTTTGATATGAATGTCGGTTAATTATTTTTGTTTGTTAGAAAGATGAAAGTGAAACAAAGAGGACATGTTAGAATTTTACTCATTTGTCAATAATGTGAGCCAGTTTTTTACTAATTCTGATAATAGTAATCAAACACTGGAAGAAAATTGCCTTAATATTTTTGTGCTACTCATAACGTAAAGGCTGAAGATACAACACACTTTTAAGCTTTCATCTGCATTAACAGCCTAGAGCAGGAGTCAAAAACTTTTCCTTAAAGGGCCAGATAGTAAATATTTTAGACTTGTGGGTCATACAGTCTATCACAGCTACTCTATCTGCCATGGGAGTGTGCAAGTGGCCATAGACAATACATAAATGAATGGGCAAGGCTGTATACCAATAAAACTTTATTTACAAAAACAAACAGCCAGACAGATTTCAGCTATGGGCTATAGTTTGCCAACTTCTGGTCTAGACAATCAACAAAACAATAAATCAAGCCCTGACTTGTAGTTTGCCAATTTATGTGGTGTAAATACCCCCACCAGGGCTCCTTTCAAGCTACCAGCATAACATTATTGAAGACAGAGCTGGGAAGAAATGTACAGTAGCACACTGTTATATGGTATTTCACAATAGGTATAAACCTCAAAAGCTTAGATAATAGTACAATGTAAAAATAATTAGGAATGATAAAGTGTGAGTATTTATTACCTTTGTTCCACTATAATTTGTTTAATTATGTTATGTTCTACCATAATTTGTTTAATTACACTATATAATTTAATTGTTAATATGTCTATTTAACAACTGTGTCACAAAATTCCTGAAAATCTGACAATTCGTTATCGGTTCTTGCAAGCCTTTACTTGCTGGCTCCAGCCTATCATTGTGTCTATGTTGAATAAAATTCAAATCTTGTCACTCCCTTATTTTAAACACTTTAATGGCACTCCACAGGTCTTGAGATAATGTCCCAGGTCCTTATACTGGTGTCCAAGATTCTATGTGACTGGCTTCCTATTCACTGCTCTAGCTTCATATCTTACCAGTATTCCTCACTACACCGCCCTCCAGCTAGAATGAACTTCTTTTAGTTCAAACAAACCACCTGTTGTTCTTTCTCACTTCTGCTCTTCACACGTGCTATTCCCTTTGCCTAGTGAACTCTCTGTTGCCTTTCCTTAACTAACTCCTTCATAGGCTTAAGGTCTCAGCTTAATAATTCCTTAGTTAGCCTTTCTTGAACCATTACCCCAACACTAAACTCCCATTGTACTGTGCCAAATACCTCCTCAATCACAGCACTATCCATACTGCACTGTAATTGTATGTTTACTTGTCTACATCCTTTACTAAGAGAAAGCCCCTCCAGGACAGTGATCTCTCCAACAGCCAGCACCAACTCGCAACCACGTGAGCGAGCCACCTAAAAAGTCTTATACTTTAGCTTCAGTTAAGCCTGCCAATGACTGCAGCCTCATGAGAGACTCTAAACCGGAACCACTTGGCTAAGCAGCTCCTGAATTTCTGACCCACAGAAACTCTGGGATATTAGTACTTATTGCTATTTTAAGCCACTAAGTTTTAGAGGTAATTTGTTAAATAGCAATAGAAAACTAATATATTTATACTCTACTAATTTTAGTTAACATCGTATAAAAAAAATTGTATCAATCAAGTAAAAAACCAAAAAGTTGGGGGCCAGCCCCGTGGCTTAGCGGTTAAGTGGGCGTGCTCCGCTACTGGCGGCCCGGGGTTCGGATCCCGGGTGCGCACCAATGCACCGCTTGTCCAGCTATGCTGAGGCCGCGTCCCACATACAGCAACTAGAAGGATGTGCAACTATGACATACACCTATCTACTGGGGCTTTGGGGGAAAAGAAAAAAAGGGAGGAGGACTGGCAATAGATGTTAGCTCAAAGCCGGTCTTCCTCAGCAAAAAGAGGAGGATTAGCATGGATGTTAGCTCAGGGCTGACCTTCCTCACAAAATAAAAAATAAATAAAAACCAAAAAGTTGGGCATCAATTTTCCCCTAATCTTTCCCCTCTCCAATCTAATCACCAAGTCTTGCTGTTCTCTACAAAAATAGATCTTGAATTGATGTATTTCTCTTTATTTCCACTGCCAATACCTGAGCCCAAGCTAGCACCTCTTTCCTATACTATTACCTGATGATCTCATATCCAATCTTTCTCCAGTCACACCTCAAATCCATCTCCACACACAGTAGCGTGTGAGTTCTATTAAAAAATAGTTAATTGCTACAAGCAATATCCCCTAATAAATGCTAAAATTAGTTGCTGAAACTTTAAGGATATTTGCATAGCCTCAAACAGTTCCCCCAAAATATTTATTGATTACTGTGGTGGTTTTAACATATGTCCACAAATTCTTTGATACTCTTTCCTTCAGGAGATGTGGCTTAATGACCCTGCTCTGCCCTTGAACTGTGGGCTGGACTTAGTAACTTGCTTATAATGACTAGAGTATAAGAGGAAAAAAGCTTTGTACTGGAAAAAGCTGGCAGAGATCAACTTAATCAAATGACCAAGATTAATAGCACTAACAGTAAGACATATCAATACAATATGCCCCCTGATATGAGGTGCTGAGACGGACACTTCACCTCTGTATTCTTTCCTAAAATACATAACCTCAGTCTAACCATGAGAAAACATCAGACAATCCCAAATTAAAGGATATTCTACAAAATACTTGACCAGTATTCTTCAATAGTCAAGGTAATAAAGACAAGAAAACACTGAGAAACTGTCACAGATCAGAGGAGACTGAGACATGATGGGGAAATCTGAAAAAAGTAGGAAGTTTAGTAATAACATTTACCAACGTTCATTTCTTAGTATTGATAAACGTACCATGGTTACGTAAGATGTTAACATTAGGAGGAGCTGATTAAAGGGTATACAGTGACTCTACTATCTTTGCCGCTTTTCTGTAGACATAAAATTATTTCAAAATTAAAAGTAAAAAAAAAATCTGAAGCAAACATAGCAAAACAGAAAAAAAAAAATCGTATCATCTTGCTTTCCTACTTAAAACCTTCCACTGGCTTCCCACAGCACTTAAGAATAAAACCCAAACTTGTTACCATGGGCTATAAAAATCTACACGGTAAGAAGTGGAGTCCCAGGATACCTCCCTGACTTTATCTTATTCAGCTTTTCTTTACATATGAGACTTAGCAACCAAGTTCTTTCCTGCTTTTGGGTCTAAAAGTAGGAACTCTGAGACGCTTTCCATGCAAGGATCTTCCCCGGGCTCTTCATATGGCTGGTTCTTTCTTACTCTTGAGGTCCCAGCTCTGATACCACCTCCTGGCACTCGATCTTAATTACCACTTCCCCTTAACTCCCACTGTACAGTACATCATTAGTAATGATTCATCTATTTTTTACTTATTTTCTCACTAAACATTGTGTCCACCTTCTTCACTACTGTATTCCCAGTGCCTACAAGAGTAACTGACATACAGAAAATGCCCAAATATTTGACAAATACATAAATAGATGTCATCACTCTTTGAAATTTCATAATCTCACCTCCCCCCAGCCCTATTTGAGAATCACTGTCCTAGAATATGTAAATTATATCTATATAAAATGAAAAGATTTGGCTACACACTTTGTAAGTAACACAACGAAGAAACAGGTACTATCATGCCCTACTGGCCAAAGTACAAAATGGTACAACTCTAAGGAGGGTAATTTGACAAAACCTATGAAAAGTACAAATGTATTTACCCATTCACCAAACAATCAATTTACAGGAATTTATCCTATAGAAATATGTAGCTATACCTCTATACATCTGAAATTATATATGTACAAGGTTATTCACTAAACACTGCTTGTAGTAGCAAAACACAGGGAACAACCATGTGCCCACCAATAAGGACCCAGTTAGGTATCCTAAGGCACATCCAAGCAATGGAAAACAATGTACCTTAGAAACTACAAGCGCTGATATTGAAAGCTCTACAAACATACTGACAAAAAAAAGCAAAAAGCAGAACATATATTACAGTATGCTAACTTGCATGTAAGAAAGTGAGGAAAAGAAAAACTATATAGTTTTACCTGCTAGTATCTGCCTAAAAGAAACTCTAAAAGGATGTATCAGGAAATAATAAAAGCAGTTACCTGGGTAAAAACAAAAGATGAAGTATGTGGTACGGTCAGCAAGAGAATGAGATAAAAGGGGACAGGGTCGTAAGCAATGCTTTCATTTATACTTCGTTAAAAAAATCAAAGCATTATGAATAAATGTGTATGTATTATTAAAATTCACATTAAATATAAGCAACAGGTTTAATTTCTTCCTGTTTCCTTCCTATCATTATTCTATATATGTACAATATTATAATCACAGTAAAATATTTTGGTTGACTTTCCTCACTTAACACTATTTATTACACAACTTTACAATCGTGTATACGAATTAATATATCTTTTCTCATGGATATATATATTTCTATGTAAGAGAATATAAAATCTTTCTATAATCTTCAATTCAGATTTTCAAGGAAATCCCACAATCTCATTACCGGAATTCCAGGGACCAGGTGTGTTACAGAACTTCAGATTTTTAGAAAAGTAATAAGATGCATAAACCATACATTAGTGTTATCCAGCAGGATCTGAGGCAGCATCCATAATGAAACAGTATGCTCAATGCTCACCAGAATGAAGCAGTGAAGTAGAAAAACCGACACCAAGTGAGATAAATAAAAACTATAAATGCTCATACAACAATTCAAATCAAGTTTTACTCCCAAATGAATTTTTGTGTGAAATTTACAAAAAATGTTTGGGCTTCAGAGTGTTTTGGATTTTCATATTGCAGATCATAGACTTGTCCTATTTCATCTTTAAATGAGAACATTCAAATTCACTTATAAAGGGAAAATAACGTTAATATTAAAAACAATATCTTGACATTTCCCATAAATGAAAAATAAAATGAGCTTTAATAATCACTTATCAACAAATCGTAAGCTATAATCATATAAAACTAAATGAAAATGAATCAGATTTATATAACTGAAGGACTGATTCCTTGAAAAAGTTAGGTTTGTTCCTGAATTGTTCCAACATAAAATAAAATACATATGTATCTGTATATGTACTAGGTGTTAGGGTGACAATTAACACACTAGTCATTCTTGAAACCTGTAAAAAGCATTACAAAAGACTGAATAAATCAGGGGCCGGCACGGTGGCGTAGTGGTTAAGCATGCGCACTCCGCTTCGGCGGCCCAGAGTTCACAGGTTTGGATCCTGGGCGTGCACTGATGCACAGCTTGCCAAGCCATGATGTGGCGGCATCCCATATAAAGTAGAGGAAGATGGGCACGGATGTTAGCCCAGGGCCAATCTTCCTTAGAAAAACAAGGAGGACTGGCATCAGATGTTAGCTCAGGGCTAATCTTCCTCACACACACAAAAAAAGATTGAATATATCAATATACAGCTCAAACACAGAGGGAGATAGAGTCAGCATCTATAACACTTCAAAGAGGTATTAATGAACAACTAAAAATTAAATAAAATCTCATATCTTTTTTTAAAATTCTTTACGATTCCTAACCTGAGCCTATTACTTACATAAATTCAAAGAAAACAATTATTTTCATCAAACTCCCCAAATCTTTATTTCCAAAGAACACTTTGACTTTGATTAAAAGGCACTAAGGCATTTGAAGAGCAATATTAAATTCAGTAACAGTGCTATCAACATATGTGTAAGGAAAACTTACACCAATAATGAAAAAAGATTAAATTTAGTTCTTTATTAAAAATAAGTCAGCATAGACAATATAACATCATAAAAACTCAATCAGATAGTATGACAAGTCAAAGTGCTATAACCTCATGTCACATCATCTTATCCTTAAATTAGTCTAGTCATATCCTTCAAGAGGGACTACTCTTAAGTCAGGACAAATTTCAGTACTGCCTACAGATTTCTGTCAGTGTAAACTGTAACAGTCATGCATATTTATTAGGATGTAATTTCATCTCTGGATTTCAGTGACACTGATAAAGCACTCAAGCTTCATTCTTGGTTTTTAATGACACCAGAACAAGTTGATGGAATTACAGCTTTATATGTGCCATTGAAAGTCTTATTTCTTATCATAGAATAACAAGGCTGGAATCTTTAAAGGATATCATTCCTGCTATCTCATCATGGAAAGATAGATGTCTAGTTTATTTTTAAAATTCCATAACTTGTCCTCAGCAATCCATTCTAACATTCAGACCACAGTCACCTCTTTAGTTATTTCACACACACACACACACACACACACACACACACACACACACCCTCTCCTTCTAGCCCACTTTCCATCTCCTCTCTCTCTCACCACTGCTATACTGTAAATTTATTTCAAGAAAAAATGTTCTTGCATTCAAATACTTTTTCTGGCTTTATGAATCCACACACTTCACAAAAAAAAAAAAAAAAAAAAAGAATGCAGGTAAAGACACTTTCAAACATAGTAGGGAAAAAAGAGGATTGGCATCAGATGTTAGCTCAGGGCTGATCTTCCTCACAAAAAAAAAAAAAAATAGAAAAACTGATTAACATAACAATGGGGAATGTACACAATTTTCCCAACCCATTAGTACACACACATTTCTTTTGCTCTCTACTCTATACAGAAGACATATATTAATATTGACACTCCACTAATAAGGTACCAATTAGAGCAGAGTTGCCCTAATCTCTCTAAATTACCTATCTTTTTGGTTGAGACATTAAAAGCTTTGGTATTAATGGACTACAGGTCAAAACAAAAACTGTAAAGAAATACCAATTTTCAACCACTTAGTTAACTTAATTATCCTGCACTAGAATTTAACAAAGTTGTTGAAAATGAGGTTTCCTGCCTGAAATCCACCCCAAAGCAAGATGAGCTAACCTGGTCCAAAAGCAACCACCAAACCAAGTTCAGGAAAAGTGGGAAATAAGACTAGCTTTTTTTTTTGGTTTTAAGATAATGTAATCAGTGACGAGACAAAAACAAAAAAAGCATTATTATATTGACCAAACATATTTACCTTGCACTCAATCTCTGCTTGTTTGCGCCTTGCTTCACTTAATTGAGTAAGTAGTCCTTTGTTCTGTGCAGAAAGATACTGCACTTTCTCCTGTAGACTGATCACCTCTTGCTCTGCTCTTCGAAGATGGTTACTATTGATCTGGTTCTAATAATTAAAAATATAAATACTCAGACTTTAGATAAAGGGCCTGAAAAAACTTACTTAAATTTCTACCTACCCATATTATGCTTTGACAACATTATAAAAATGTTATTAGTTATACGTCAATTTTATTCAATGAATAGTTAAATACTTAAAAAAAAAGGTTTATAAAACTGCTTTAAAAATCAAATCATCCAAAAGAATAGATAAGGTCCATGTTAGAAACTCTCATTATAGCTCAACTTACCATTTATACAATAAATATCTATATACTATAAGGATGTTTACACAGAACTTAAAGGTATTAATCTCTGAAATAGGCCATGTGGTACAAAGTGAGTAGATATAGGAATATGATGAATTTAACTCCTCTCTCTAGTTCCCAAAAGAAAGCACAGACTGACTGAAAGCCACCACTACCATTTACTGAACTGTAAACTCCTTGATGTCATAAAACGTGTCATGTGCACTTCTACATTCCTCCAGCGTCTAGCACAGTTTGTTTTTATGAAACATGCACTGGTTTTGAATTCTGGCTTGCTATTTGGTGATTAAGCAAACTAGTTAATATCTCTGAGTCTCTATTTCCTCATTTGAAAAATATATATAAAATACTACCTATTTCTCATTTGGTTGTCTTCAAAATTAAATGAGATAATACATGTAACAGGGCTTAATATAGCGTAAGAATTCAATAAATGTTTGCTGCTTAGTGTATAACTATAGGACATGCTAAAAAAAATATAGACCTTGAATTGACTGACAAGATGTAGTTTTCCCATTCAGGCTTGACTCAACCTGAATTCTCTCAACCACAAATTATTCTATTAGGGGCCTGAAAGAAACAGAAGGGACTATCATAACCAAAGATAGGTAAAATTTGGCTCTTCGTGTAATAGTTCTTCAACCTTGGTCAAGTTATCTAATCCCATCAAATTTCAGTACACTGGTATAGGCATAGATATTACTACTTACCTTTCAAGGCTGTGTTGTGAGAATTATATGAGAAAAGTTTATGAAAGGAGTCTCACACAACGCCTGAAATTTAACAGATATTTAATAAATGCTCAGTTGTTACTATTATTACACCTATTCTACCTCACTCTAAGAAAATGACCCTGCCTCTAGTTTTAATAAAAAACCTGTAGCATCTAAGAGATTTAAGCTCCAAAACTTTCTACCACTTCCAGGTTTCTTCATCTTTACTTTTACTTAACCTCCTGACTCACAGAAGAAATGCCTCCTTTCTAAGACCACCCTCTATATTACTTTTTTCTTTCTTACTTTCAATCAATGAATACTGTCTGTTTACAAAGTTAAGAGTGAACTTCTTAATACCGTATTCAAAATGTTCCAGGGCCAGCCCCAGTGGCCTAGTGGTTAAGTTTGGCATGCTCCACTTTGGCGGCCTGGGTTTGGTTCCCAGGCACACACCTACACCACTTGTCTGTCAGTGGCCACACTGTGGCAGTGGCTCACATGCAAAAAGAGGAAGACTGGTAACAGACGTTATCTCAGGGCAAATCTTCCTCAGCCAAAAAAAAAATTGTTCCACAACCTCTTTTTATTGTCTTACCTCCTACCATTAAAATAAATAACCACACGTCAGAGATATGCGTTCAACATGAACTACAAAGAATTCCCACAGATAAAACTTCTCCCTGCACCCATGATTACAAGTCCATGATCCAAAATTACAAAACACTCACACATTCAAAAAAACAAATAACTGATCATGAGTGAGAAACAGTAGACAAAAAAGATAGCAATAATAGAGTTTTAGGAACTCTAGATAATAAAATAATCATATAAGGACTTTCAATAAAATAGTGTATGTTGAAAATCATTAGACATAATTGGATCAAGAAGATGTGGTATATATATACAATGGAATACCACTCAGCCATAAAAAAAAAGACAAAATCGTCCCATTTGCAAACATGGATGGGCCTGGAGGGTATTATGTTAAGTGAAATAAGCCAGAAAGAGAAAGACAAACACTGTACGATCTCACTCATATGTGGAATATAAACCAACACATGGACAGAGAAAACTATAGTGTGGTTACCAGGCGCAATGGGGGTAGGGGGTGGGCACAAGGGGT